ATACTCCAATAGACCCGTATAAAAAGATTGGAATGGAGAATGATAGTTTACCTGTCGACAAAGGACGATATCAACGGCTTGTTGGAAGACTTATTTACTTATCCCACACCATACCAGATATAAGTTTTTCAATAAGTATAGTAAGTCAATTCATGAACCGTCCTACTGAGGAACATATGGGAGCTGTCAACCGTATCTTAAGATACCTAAAGATGACACCTGGGAAAAGATTATTATTCAAAAGGAATGATACTCAAAAGGTAGAAGTCTTTACCGATGCTGACTAGGCAGGAGATATATCCACCCGACGATCAACCTCTGGGTATTGCTCGTATGTATGCGGCAATCTAGTGACATGGAGAAGAAGTAAGAAGCAATCGGCAATCGGTGGTATCTCAGAGTAGTGCAGAAGCAGAATACAGAGCACTGACGCTTGGTATCTGTGAAGGAATGTAGATAAAAAGATTTCTCAAGGAGCTTGAAATTATGGGAGAAAATAAATAGGAGCTTGGAATTATGGGAGAAAATTCTATCAAGATGTTCTGTGACAATCAAGCTGCAATCAATATCGCAAAGAATCCTGTTCATCATGACCGAATGAAACACATTCAGATTGATAAAAACTTCATTTCAGAAAAAAGTGGACAATGGAATCATTGAAGTGGTCTATACTCCTAGAGACCAAACCACTGACATTCTCACTAAGACTCTCCCTAAATCCAATTTTGATAAGCTAACCAACAAGTTGGGCATGTACAATATGTACAACCCAACTTGAGGGGGAGTGTGGACTTACGCTCTTTATTATTTACGTTATTCCATTTAGTACTTGATATATTTTTGTCATGGTATAAAAAGAGTAATTCTTTAATTATAAGGTATTTATGTTTATTTCATAATTATAGGAATTACTTAATTGTAGGAAGATTTTTTTTCTCTTTTATCTCTTGTACTTGCCTATTTATAGGCGGATTATCTATGCATTCAGTGAGTAAAAAAGTTATTCAAAATTTCACAATATATATATATATATTTATATAAATAATATATTATATAAATATATAATATCTATATTAGTATATTACTAACATAGCATATTAATACATTATTATTATTAAATTATTATATATTATGATTTATAAAATTTAATTTTTTAAAATATCATAAATTTTTTATATATAATTGTTTTAAATTATTTTATATTTCAAACAATAACAATTCGAACACGAACGAGCGCATCACTGTTCGTGTTTGGTTCGTTTAACTAACCGAATGAAAAAAAATTGTTCACGCTCGTCTTGTTTACTTATCGAACGAATCGAACACGAACTCATTAACGAACCGAACACGAACAGCTCACGAACAACGAGCTTTTTTGACAGCCCTAATTGATTTAGGTGTTAGTCAAAGCAAGTAAAGCGAAGTGTTAAAACTTTTTAAAAGGTTATTTATATCGATATGAGTACTTATTTTCTTTTATACATTAAATTAATGTTTTATTAAATAAATTATTACTTTATTAAATGATTTAAAACAAACATTTCATTCATGTTTGACAATTTAAAAGTCTGAAATTATATCATAAATGTGATAAAAATAACACACAAATCAAAGTATACTTTAAAGGATTTAAAATTGATATGAAATGAAATATAAATGTTAAGTCATATAGGATTACCCCAGATAATACTGATTAGAGAAGCGATGTACTAGTGCACGTTAAAGAAAATGATAAATATGTACATTCAAGTACAATTTTGAGGGTACCTTCTGGTACATTCCGGTGCAATTCAAATTCGAAGAAGAATATCCATAATTCTTCCTTGATGATTTACCACATCTAACAGCCGTGCGAATGCTAAATTCTAAATCTGTATCCAAGGTACCCTATAAAATGGCGGTTAAAGAGCTGCAGGAGTTGAAGAGTCAACTTCAGGAGTTACTAAATAAGAGGTTCGTCAGACTTAGCACCTCATCTTAGGGAGCTCTAGTATTATTTGTGAAGAAAAATGACAGGAGCTTTAAGATGTTCATTGAATACAAGGAGTTGAATGAGCTCACAATTAAAAACAAATATCCACTGCCGATGATTGACGATTTATTTGATCAGTTGAAAGGAACCATTGGATTTTTAAAGATTGATCTGACATCTAACTATCACTAGGTGAGGATTAAAGAAGGCATACAAAAACAACTTTCAGGACCAAATATAGGCACTATGAATTCGTAGCAATGCCATTTGAACTAACTAATGCTCCAACAGGTTTTATGGATCTGATGAACAGTGTCTTCAGACAATTTTTTGATATTTTTGTGATCAGCTTTATAGATAATATTTTGGTGTATTTGGGGGTTGGAGTCAATCATACAGATCATTTACATGTTGTGCTACAGGTTTTGAAGGAGTATACACTTTATGCCAAACTTGCTAAATGTAAATTTTGGCTTAAAAGTGTAGATATCTTTTTGCGCATTATCAATGCAGAAGATATATTTAAGGACCATAATAAGATTCAGACGATTGTAAATTTTGCCAAGGCCTGATACTAACATTGAAGTCAGTCTGGCAAAGTATAATAGGAGATTTGTCGAGGAGCTCTCAGAAATTGCTATGACACTATCAAGATTAACACGGGGAAGGAAGTGAAATTCGAAATGTCAAATCGGTGTGAAGAGGCTTTTCAGAAGCTATACTTGCTTAATGTCTGCTCCAGTTGTGGCCATTCCTTCAGGTTCTGATGCATTTCAGATTTTCAATGATGCATCTTTAAGGGGTTTAGGTTGTGTACCTACGCAACATGAAAGTTTATTGCATATGCATCACGATAATTAAAGAATCATGAAAAGAACTATCTTACACATGACTTGGAGCTTGCACTAGTTATGTTTGCGCTTAAAATATGGAGGCATTATTTGTAAGGAGTTTGATGCGATGTTTTTACAAACCACCGTACTTCAAAATATATTTTTACTTAGAAAGAACTGAATCTCAGGTAGAGGAGATGGCTCGAGTTTCCTAAAAATTATGATTTGGATATTCAATACCATCCGAGGAAAGCGAATGTAGTGGCAAATGAGCTTAGCCAGAAGGCTTTAGGTAATTTGAGCTATTTATTTACTCAACAGAAATAGTTACTTGAAGACTAAGAGAAGTTAAAGCTATCTATATGATAATGATAGTATGGTTCAATTATATCAATTGACAGTGCAATCAACTTTGAAGAGCATAATTGAATATTCTTTAGCCAGAGATAACAATATTCAGAAAATCCCATAACAAATTAAGGCAGGCGGTTTGGAGAGGTATGTGCTAGATCAAAATGGTTTATTGAAATATAAAGAGAGGCTTTATGTTCTAGATGTTGATATTCTTAGAAAAGAAATTCTTAAGGCCCATTTCTTTGGCTATACTATTCGCCTAGAGAGCAATAAAATGTATCAGGACGTTAATGAAACATTTTGGTGGAAAGGATTGAATAGAAGTGTGACAGAATTTGTCACTAAGTATCTTTAATGTCAGCTGGTAAATGCAGAACATCAACATCCTAGTGGTCAGATGTAGCCTTTACCGATTCTAGAGTGGAAATGGGAGGAGATTGCGATGGAATTTCTGATTGGGTTGCCTAGATGATGTTAAGTTCGTAATGCTATGTGGGTAATCATTAACAGATTTAATAAGTCTACTCATTTCTTACCCATTAGAAAAACAAATCCAGTAGAGAAATTAGCCAAATTATATGTGGATCATACTATGAGGTTGCATGGAGTGTCAAAGTTTATTATCTTCGACAGAGATGACATGTTTACTTCTAGATTGTGGAAGAGGGTTCAAGAAGTTTTGGGTACACGACTGACTTCTAGTATAATATTTCACACAGACAAATGATAAGTCAGAGCGGACTAATCAGACTTTTGAAGATGTACTAAGATTATGAGTACTTGAATTTGGTGGAGGTTGGGAATCATAAGTTTACTAAAATTTACTTACAGTAAGAGTTATCATGCTAGCATTGAAAAAGCTCCATCTAAAGCCTTGTAAGGAAGAAAGTGTGGGATATCATGTTAGGTGGAATCAGGTCAAAGAAAGATCATTGGAGTTGATTTGGTTGATGATGTTACTAAGAAGATTAGATTGATTAGAAACAAATTGAAGATTGTGTAGGATACAAAGAGAAAATATTATAACGTCAAGCATAAACCTGTTGAGTTTGAAGTTGGAGATTTGGTTTTTATCAATGCCGCTCCATTGAAGGGTATACAACATTTTGTGAAAACAGAAAAATTGAGCCCAAGATATGTCAGTCCATATGAGATTGTGGAGAGGATCGGGAATTTAGCTTACAGATTGGCTTTACCAGCTTTTATGTAGGGAGTGCATAATGTTTTTCATATTTCTTAACTCAGAAAATATATTACAAATGAAGCTAGTAGAGTAATAGCAAACTCAATTGATATTAAGCCAGATTTAACTTATACTGAGGAGTCTGAAAAGATTATAGATTATGATTTAAGGAAACTGCGAAACAGAGATTCATTTTTGTGAAGATTTTATGGAATTATGGGTCGGAGAAGGTGCAACATAGGAGAAAATTTCTCAGATGCGAAAAAACTATCCACAGCTTTTCATTTAAGACATGTTTATTTTTGTATTAAATCTTTTAAAATTTCGAGAACGAAATTTTATTAAGGAGATTTGTTCTATTGCAAACAATTTGTTATAACTTCTACATACAGTACCACAGGTTTAGTTAAAACATCTAAGCATCACAAAGGAGTACTTGATTATGTCAAGAGAAAGATGCGCCTAAAAATCACTTCAAAAGAAAGAGCTAGCTAAACTACATTATTCAAATCAAATTTGGTTTCTGTTTGATCGCTTTAAACAATTTGATGCAATTTCCAGGAATCTGAGCTGTATTAATTTTAGTCTCAAGTTAAAAGTAACATTGCAAGCCTATCAGTTTGAATAACACGTAAAAATGAATTTAAAGAAACTTTACACTGGAAATGATTAAGATCTCCCGAGACGTAATCAAGGAATAGTACAAGTAAATCATGTTGTGGGCCGTGTCATTGTAGATAGGCCACGCCCAATCTGAGAAAATGGCTGATAGCTTCCACCCGTATCTTCCTCCGTTGCTGTTAAGCACTAAAGCAGTTAAACTTAAAACCAAAAAAAAAAAAAAAAAAAAAAAAGAAAAAAAAAAAATAAATTTAATGCATTAAAATCAAGCAAGCTAGAAAGATCCAACAATAGAAGTATAAGTATCCTTTAGAAATATCCAAGAAAATAGTAATACAGATTTCTAATGCTAAACATATTTGATGATTTGTGACTGTGGTCGATTACTACTTTTTTTTTTTAAACTTTCGTGCATAAATTGCAAGAGATGGAAGAATGTCCATCCCGCAAGCGAGTAGTAGGGTGCACAAGGATCAATTCCAAATTTAAATATCTGAGAGTAGCAACTAGGCAAACTGTAAATAAAAATTTACAATTTTGAATTTATGATGGTTCAGTCAACTAGGTTAAGCAAGCAAGCACTGCATCAACACAACAAATCTGTACCTAACCACAAAAGATAAAAAATGAAAAACTGCACAAGTTTTATCAGAAAATATATATATGAAAATTTATCACACAAAAGATAAGAAAAGTGACATATTCAATAAAACCTAAGACGTGGAAAGGAAATTTAGCACAATCAACTTAAAAGTTTCATGAAAGAAGAATGTAAAGAATTAATTTCTCTTGAAAACTTACCCATTTCCTTAATGGGTTGGGATTATATAGTCTTACAATATTTACAAGTAAAACTGTGATTTTTTCTATTTAAAAATAGGACCCGTCATTAGATACAAATCTCAACATTTCCCCCCAAGATGGGCAAAATATATCCACTAAGCTCATCTTGTCATATAACCTAGACAAATCTAATGAGTGAAGTCCTTTGGTGCGAGGCATTCAACCACTTGCTCTCCAGTGGCTATATGACTTAACTCTAGCAGTCTGTTATTAAGCTTTTCCTTGACGAAAAACTTGTCAATCTCCACATATTTGGTTCTATCATGTTGCACCGAGATGTTGGCAATGCTGATCGCTGACTTGTTGTCGCACCGCAACTTAATTTGAGCTCCTTAGTCCACCTTGAGCTCTCAACAACGCTCTCAGTCACATCATCTCAAAAACTACTAAGGCCAAGGCCCGATAGTCTATCTCTGCTATTGACCTCACTACTACTGATTGTTTCTTGCTCTACCAAGAAACCAAGTTGCCCTCTACGAACATGCAATATTCAGATATGAACCTCCTGTAATCCTTACAATTCGCCCAGTTAAAATCAAAATAACCCTCAATGCTTACATGCCCATTCTTCATAAAGAACAAACCCCTCCCTGGTGCACTCTTCAGGTACCTCAGAATTTGGCATATTACATCCATACAATTCTTCTTCGGATCATGTAGCGACTCATCACACTTACTGCAAATGATATGTCGAAATGAGTGTGACTCAAATAAATAAGACGACCTGCCAACCTATGGTACCTCTTGCGATCAACTAGCTCTCCTACCTCTTCGCTCAATTTTCCCTTCTCATTAATTGGTGAACTGCAGGCTTGCATTTCAACATGTCTGTCTGTGTGAGCAAGTCTAACACATACTTCCTCTGAGATAGAACAATCCCCTCTGTTCCACGAGCCACCTCAATTCTGACAAATTATCTAACCTGTCTCTGATCCTTCACCTCAAACTCTTTGCCCAAACTTGGCTTCAGTTGAGCAATCTCTCCCTCAGCTTCCCCAGTGACAATCAAATCTTCCGTATACACGAAAAAAATAGTAATGTGACCACCATGTAATTAAAACAAGACTGCATGGTTGACATTTATTTGTTGACAACCTATGCCGACTATTTTTTTCCTGAACATGTCAAAGCAAGCTCGAGGAGACAGTTTCAAACCGCATAGTGACTTTCTCAATCTACATATATTACCCACAGTTTGGTTGTGTTGAAGCCTGGGAATATCTTCATGTATACCTCATTTAGCAGTTCCCCAAGAAGAAACAGATTTTTCACATCAAGTTAGTGTAATCTCCATCTATCATTCATAGCCAGAAAGACTAGTGTCATGAACGATGCTCATCTTTGCCACTGGTGCAATTGTCTCATTATAGTTGATGTCAGACGTTTGACTATATCATTTCGCCACCAACCATGCTTTGCAGCGATTAATCTTTCCTTATAAGATATGCTTCACCGTGAAGGTCTCATTTGCATCCGACTGTCGTTTTCCTTGAAGGAAACAACTCGAGCTCCCATGTCCTAATCTTATTGATAGCAACAAATACCTCTAACATTGCATTCTTTCACTTCGGATCCTCCTTAGCTGCCTGCCAACAATTAGGTAAAGAAACAGTGTCTAAAGATGAAATAAACGCTTCATGTAAAGGTGATATATTAGTGTACGAGACAAACTGGGCAATGTCATGTGAAGAATCAAAACAATCAGAATTATAATGATCAAAAGGATGACCCGCATTGTTGCGCGAGATCCTCTTTAAAAGTCTGGGAGTGGGAAGAGAAGAAAGAGGAATCATATCACTTGTGTAATCGAATTCCGAGGTGGATGGTGTAGGTGTCGGGGTAGACCAGAACAAAGGACTTCTTGGCACGAATAGCATAGTAGAAACTGTTCCCTCATTTTGCCTTTTCCTCCTTGTATCCAATCTCAGGTCCCCTTGAGCTTGAGTCTCACCACAGGATGAGGCTTCGTTCCCACCAGTATCAATCTCTCACAATCACTACTCTCCCCCTATTGCCTAGCACATTCAACATTTAATGAGTCACAAAAGGGTGAGGTCACCTCCAAGGTGTAGTATGGTTCAAATTATCTAAATATCACATCCATAATCACAATCTCTTCTCAATTGGGCTCCAACAAACACCCCCCTTCTGAGTGGCAGAAAAGCTCACGAAAATACACTTCACAGCTCTGAAATCCAACTTCCCTATTGATAGTCTATTATCTTTCATAAAACATACACAACTAAATATCTTCAATGGGAGGATCCCACCTTTATCTCTTTTCAACAATTCATAAGGAGATCACTACTCAAACGCTTTCAAGTGCATTCTATTAAACAATTGAACAGTTGTCAAAACATCTTGGCCCCATAAATGCTTTGAGACATTCATCGAGATCAATATGCTCCTGACTACCTCTAAAAGATGTCGATTCTTTTTCTCTAATACCCAGTTTTTCACCAGTGTGTATGGATAAGTGATTTGATGTTTTATATTCCTTGGGCTGACTGGTACTCCCAAAATGTCTTGTTGATATGCCATGTCTCGTTAATAGATCTCGATACCTTCACTACTGCACCATATTGAGTCTGAATCGCCTTTTAAGTGCCTTGAAAGCACGTAAGCATATCATTTTTATTTCTCATCATGTATAGCCAAATAATATGATAAAAAATAATTGATAAAAGCTACAAAATATTTGTAGTCATTATAAAACAAGGTCCTCGTACATCTGAGTGCACCAAATAAAAAACACAAGAACTATTACCAGAACTAACATAAGAAATTTTAGAGTTCTTACTAAACTCACATGCATCACACAGAAGTTTTTTTTTATTTTTTCATATAAAAAAGGAAACAAACGACTCAACATACTATATGAAGTGCCCATAAGCTTGTAATGTAGCAACAACACATCCACCACATTCCAGATCCTCCTACTACAACACTGTCTACCATGGATGTAAAGGCTGAATCAATCCCCTCTATCCAAGTACCAAAGTCCACTATGCCATGTACGAGTCTCAAATCTCCGACCAGTCCCCTTCTACCGAAAGATCACCTTGAGAATATCAAATAAAACAATACATTTTAGTTGGTGTATAAAGACACTAATGGATAAAAGATTCACTGGAAAGAAATGAACATGCAAAACATTAGGCATAGTCATAAAATTAGTACACCTAATTGAGTCCTTATCAAACACAGACTGTGTTGTACCATTAATACTGAATGCTCTCCGGAACTGCTAAGTGAGAACATGAAAAAAAACTCACTAGTAGCACTTGTCACACGTCGAGATGCACCAGAATCTACTATCCATTCTAATGATCTTGTGGTGAATATAGAGACAAGAAAAGGTACTACCTTTGGTTGAGTGGGTATAAGAAGCAGCATTCCCCATGGATGCATCCTCAGTCAAATAACCTACTGCTCTCTGCTTCCTCTTGAACATCTCTAAGAGCTCGTAATCTTCATCAATAAAGACTACCTATCTCTTCCTCATTCTCCATCACCATCAGATTCGTCTGTGGCATCTCTTGCACCCCTTGGCCCCAACGATTATGACCACAACGTCTAGACTATCCATGCTCACCCTACTCTCTCTTCTTGAGTGGCTTTAGACAATTCTTGCTCCATTATCACACTTTTCCACAGTTGTAGCACATGTAGGTCACCCCTAGGCACTTGTCATACCTGAGCGCAAGACAACCAAAGTTGATCGTGCACCTGGAAGCTTTCTCGCCTCAGAGTGTAGCCTCATGCGGCTCTCCTGTTGAATAACGATGATGACCTTATCCAGTGAAAGAATCCTTGCATGGGCTAGGAGAACCAATCTCTGATCAAAGAACTGGTTCAGATGAGCCAGAGACTGAATAATACTCATCTGTGCAAAGATCTCTCACTTCTTGTACTTGACATATGTGAGAAGTGATCAAGATCTTACCACAGTCGCTCCAGCTCTATGAAGTACTCCTGAATTGATCACCTTTTACCACTCCCTCTATATCACACAGAATCTGGAACACCTTCAAGTGACTCCCAGTCCCAGAATAGGTCCTCTTCAAGTTTGCGCAGATGTCATTCACCTTTCGAATGCTATCCACTGATGTCGCAATCGATAGAACCATCGAGTTGAGTAGCCAGATGTAAATCAATGCATGTGTGGTCCTCCACTCATCCCCCTCAACATGTCACTCTTTGGCTCGACCCCCATCAGGTATCCTTCTAGTATCTTCCCTACTAGAACGACCTCGATACGATGCAACCAATTCAGATAAGTGGCTAGTGCATCAAGCTTTAGCTCCATAGGAAGGATCACTAAAGAAAAACCAAGAATTTCAGAATTAGCATCAGACTTACTTCCAATGAAAAATTAGCGACTGCTTAGAGCCGATTTAGCATCACAACGTGATTTTGCTTCAAAAAAATCAACACAAAAAAGCTACAAAGGGTGGTCGACGCATGCCCGACGCTATAGCGTCGGTCATAGCCAACGCTAATCTCACTTATTAGTGCAGTCATGACCGATGCCGATGCCCTAAAATAACCCTCTCGTGAACCTCAACTCCACTTCACGCTCATTTCCTTCCTTCGGCTTTCGATCTTCGCCTCCATCGCCTTCGACCTTCTACGAAAAATTCGGGTTCGATTCATCCTTCCAATCCCATTAAAGGTGAGAAATCTTTTTCCACGCTTCCAAGTTATTGTTTAACATAAGTTTTCATCTTTTAATTCATCTTGCATAGGATAGATCCAAAAATACATAAGTTTTGCTCAAGTTTTTTTTCATATTTCATTGTTAGTTATGCAATGCATATGGATTTCATGGTTTTCCAGGCATATAAATACATAAGAAATTTGTGCTATGTATTAAAATTTTGGTGTGAAATATGTAAATGCACAAGAAAAATGTAGTATGTATGTAAATATGAAATTTGGTTGTGAGATATGTGAATGCATAAGAAATATTGTGCTATGTATGTAAATATAAAAATTTAGGTGCAATTTGTGAATGCATAAGAAAATTATGGTATATATGTAAATATGAAGAAAATTGTAGTATGTATGTAAATATGAAATTGAGGTGTGAGATATGTGAACTTATAAGAAATTTCTTCATATGTATGTAAATATGGAAATTTAGGAGTGAGATAGGTGAATACATAATAATATTGTGCTATGTATTTAAGGTTGAAAATGTAGATGCGAGATATGTAAATATATAAGAAATTTTGTTATATATGTAAATATGAAAATGTAGGTGTGATGTGTAGGTGCACATAGCACCTAATGTGTTATGTATGTATATAAGAAAATTTAGATTGGTTCTCTAGATTTGTGGGCTATGGGTTTTGGGTATGATGTGTGGGTAGCCTAAGGTTTCAAGTAGGATGTGTAATGTGTTGGCTCACATCCATAAAGCTACATTTATGGTACAGATGGATACTTGAAGAGTTAGATCGTGGATGTATATCCAGGAAGAAAAAGATTAACTGACGAGTTTATAAATGGTGTTGAAGAGTTTGTGCATGTGGCATCGCAGTTGACAATTACCTCTCAATAGGTAAACTCTGATGCCCCTGTGCAAAGCACAAGAATCAAGTGTACCTGACACCTGATGAAGTGAAGTTTAACCTATACTATAAGGGATTTAAACTGGATTATTGGTATTGGACTTCACATGGTGAACTTGAACTAGATGTTCAGTACGGTCAAGCAAGAGCACTAGCAGCTGTGGGTGGCCCTAGCTCATTACAAGCTTAGTAGGAGCTTACCAAGCATGTGACAATGATAAATGAACTGCTTTGGTAAGTGCGTAAAGACCAACAACTCATTGCAGATAGCCCAGCATGAGAATTTTGATCGCCAGAGCAAGGGACACATGCATCTGATTGAGGAGAAGGATGATAATGAGGATGAAAATTAGGCCTTATTTCTATGTTTGATGATGTTCCCTCGACATAGGGGCTGACTTAATGTTTTTTTCAATTATGTATTGTACGAACTTTTAGTTTCTTGTGTTGTGTTCTGAGCACTTTAATCTGTCTATATTTAATCTGATTTGGTATCATTATGTGTATGTTGGAGTTTTCTTTTATGAGTTGTGATGACATAGAAATATCATATTATGTTGACTGTGTTATGTGCAGGTATCTGGAAATCTAATCATTTTATTATATTTTTGTTGTTTCTTACGAGTTGGCTTCAAATTAGTGTCAGAAAATTTTGATACTAAAACCTAGAATCAGCGAACGATACAAGACACCGCTAAAACGATGCAATGGAGTCAAAAAAGCGTGACGCTTAGTAGTGTCGGTTATGGGCGACAGTAAAAAGCGTCGGCCCTGTTCAATGCTAATCAGCGTCAGAATTTTTTTGACGCTATTGTGTTGTTACGTCAGCGTCGCTTGCATTTCAACAAATGAATTTTACGCTAATGCGGACGCAAATAAAATCCTACGCTAATTTCGATGCAAAATAAATTGGTGACGCCCATTTTAACATCAGAAAAAAAAAGACGCTAATCTAATGTAGCGTCGAAAAATGTCCCGATTAGGGTCGGAGCACATGCCGAGGTAGTGGCTCCAGCATAGATGCTAGCTCCCTATATGAGTTTGACCAAGACCTTCAGAATTTCAGTATCTATCTTCTCCAAAAGTTTCAATTCTTTACCTTTTGTACTATGTCTCCTGGTATCCTCAATCACAAGGATAAGTCTAGTGCACACAAAACATATGTGACTTCCTTCAAGTTCTTGTGATCCGCTTTGCCTTATAGCCCGCATGAAGCGACAAACTCACTCCCATATGCAAAAAATCGCAATCGTTTCAATCATTCGCCTCCCTGCCATCGAGTTGAACTCCATAAACGAAGCCCTGATACGCTACCTCCTTAATGCCCGAGCAACAATTACACGTCGTTTTGTACACGTCAGTCCCGTCGGTGCCTTTTCAGTTAGACTAAGTTTTGAAGTAGGTGCACCCTAAGATCCGTGTCTCAAGCAAGGCAATGAGCATCATGAACTCATTTATCAATGATTTCTTCGAGAAGCTTGCGCGGGAGTCCTCAAGCCTTGCACAATACACTAAGAAGTCAACCAATACTTCTCGCGAGATCCGGACTTTCGTTTGTTTGATTTTTCTCGGAGAGTTCTAATTCCAACTGGATTGCTATAGGATTCACGCCACGATCTGCAGGTTGTCTTCCCAACGAGTCGCGATCCCGTTGTTGCCTTCCCAGTGAGCCTCGAGCCCTTCCTTGCCTTCTTAGCGAGCTCTAGTCGCCAGAGTATGCACCGATCGAGTTGCGATTAACCTCACGATTAAGCAGCACCAAGTCCCTGGTTGCTAGGGTTAAGCTTTGATACCATAAAGAATTAATAGCTCTTGAAAACCTACCCATTTCATTAGTAACTTGGGCTTATATATAACGCCTTACAACATTTATAAATAAATCCCTAGATTATTTCTATTTATAAATAAAACCCAACATTAGATATAAATCTCAACAGAATGCCATCATGAGGCATTAATGGACAATTTTGGGCCTACATCATGGAAATGTTTGTCATGATTTTGTTGCCGACCCCACTCAGTGGGATAAAGGTTTTGTTGTTGTTGTCATCATCATGAAATTGTTAGTGCCATCCATAAATAATAGAAGCAATTATGCTGGGCATCATAATACATATTAGTTGATTTTATTAAAAACAGCTGATACACTTAAATCAGGTAGATGCTTCCTTTACAAGCCTCTTAAGTTGTTCAACAAACTTATCAACAGAAGGAATCAAAACTATCATTATGCATTTAGCTTAAAATACAGTTTATTGCCACATAACAAAACAGCCGGTCCCAAAACAATTCCATGTGTTTCTAAATCTATGCATAGCCAAACGTCGTTGGTAGTGATTAACATGTATCCTAAGTTCAACTACTACAAAATAACATCTTTATTATCTCTTTTTGTTTCAGTGATATGAAAAAACGTGGACCGCAATAAACTAAATGCATATCCCTCCAATCTTATAATTCCACCTACTCTTTCTTCACCTGTCTTCTTGGTACTACAATTCCACTAACGAATTAGTACAAATATTTGCTTTGACCAATCCTCTCATTCATCTACATTTGAAATCTATGACCATATTTAAACTTTCACGTTGGGTACACGATAAAAAGTTAAATAATCTTTTTCAAATGTCAAATAGATTAATCATCTAACAAGTTTAACAACATTATAAAAAAAAGTAACCATTTATCTGTGCAATTAAGGTATCTGTGTAATTAAGTACTGCATAAAGATATGACATACTTTTGCGGGGGCTCGAAAGTGAGAGTGAGAGAGAGAGAACAATAATCTCAAATCATAAAAACATCCACAGAAAGATCTTACCAGAGAGGTCTTCACTTGATTGTTGACCAGCCACGCCAATGCAAGAAAACAAGGATGCGTCATCTACCCTTAAATATTGATATGCAACATATATATCTTCGATCGTTGCAGCTTCATATAATAATGTTAAGTCTTTGATGCATGAAAGATCCTAAATTCCAAAATAAAAAAAATGTATTTCAGCAAAATAAATAAATAAATAAATAAATAAATGCTCCCCGTATAGACAAAAAATTAGATAAGTAAACCTTAATGTCAAAAAGACAGGAAAACAGGAAGATATTCTGTATTCTAAAAAGCCCTAGAAATTTAACCCATGAGATTGATGTCCAAATAGACACATGAATCATAAGATACAACATCATTATAGTTAATTGATTTCAAAACCAAAAGAAGAAAATTAACAGACAATTTCATAGGCCAATTAAAAATTTTACATGTTTGTATGTGCAAACATAAAACAAGAGAATTTTCAACACAACCAATGCGAGGTCAACAATAAATCAGTCTAACAGGATTTTAAGAACAATTTTTTATGTTACTATTGTAGTATAAAAAATTATCAGTAGGTTGACTAGTATTCAATATGTGTTTCCCACAAATAAATCTCATAGCCACTTAGAAATAGTGTCTAGCAGGTTATCATTACATATCAACTAAAGATCTGGATATTTTGATTAAAAGTTTGATCCTAAGTTTTCCCCAGGATGTAAAGATTAACAACCTACTACAAGAAGAAGTGAAAACTAACAACTGCTAAATCCAGCAAGAATCAATGAGTAGTAGAATGACCTAAGCTCATTTTACCTTCCTAGGAACAGATGAAGCCTGCAAATGTGCTAGCAATCCAAGCAAGTAGGCATTTGACTTCGTCTCTGCCTCATGTCTCATCAGTAAGGTCCTCCTTGCCTGCCACAACCATGAGATACAAGTTATGACCATAATGGATTTCTTTTGCATTCAGACATTAAGAAGCAGGGTAAATAGAAGAGATGCCAACAAAACATTTTGGCAATATCATAAAAATTTAAAGATAATTAATAGAAAGCATTTCATCATCTGACCATAGCTACATACACTTCAAGAAAGCTGCAAAGATTCTTGGCTGCTTCTAAGAGGATAAATAACAGCATGGGAAGCATGGCCTCCACAATCCACTGTGATGTGTAATTGTTTATAAAGAAGACCGAATAAAAGAAAACTACCAATTAAATAACATTGGAAAACGGGATAAGTGGGTGGAAGATAAGGGGAGAAAGTAATCACTTCTATTTGGTTTTAGCAGTACAATGGTGGTGGTTATTTGAAAATACAAAGGATTGAAATAAAATATGGAATGCTATGTCCCTGTATATTTACTTCCTTGCAGAAAAACACCTCTCCATAGACACTGCACTGATGATACAGTCATGGCATCCATGTTTAAAGCACATTTCCACTCAGCATGCTTCATTTTTACTTACAACTAATTTCCCGCAAATGATGGCAACCATGTTTCAATCGCATCACATTATCACAGAATAAAGAACCCTAGCCTATTATAAGCATTATGCTTATCAATCTCACATTCACACTCAAAAAGATTGTGATTGTGGGTATTGATCTAGTTCTTTTCAAATAGCCATACAATCCTATTCATATACTAGAATTCAAAAGCCACACCATTCTAATGTTGATAGTGTTAGTTGTTGGCATTCTTACATTTATTATTATAATTATCCATCCATTCGTCATAAAAAGGATTCCAAAAGTTATACCCTCTGTAACAACCTGTTAATTAAATTATAATTAATTTAATTTTTTAAAAAATGAAAATGAAATGAATTCATTGTTACAAAACTTCTGAAATACGTGTTGTTTCCCTCATCGCGAGAGCCGTGAGAAAGAAAAAGAGAAAAGAAAAAGAAGAAAGGTAAGAAGAGGAAGAAGTAACATAAGAAGATGGAGAAGAGAAAAAAGGTTGCGTGAACCTTGAGCGAGAAAGGAGCGTGGGGAAGGTTTTCCCAAGATTGGAAGCGCTCGGCCGACATTTTACGAGCTCTGTAAGCCGCAATTGAAGCTAAAGCCTTCCTTATGTGTTCTAGTCTTGTACAAAGGAGGATTTCGTCTTCCTCTAATCAAATTGGAAGGAGAGGTGGGATCAAGCTCCGTTGTTCGTGAGAGCTAATCGCAGTTCCTGTGTCCTAACCGAGCAAACCGAGAGGATGGAGGATACGTGCAATCAATGGACAGTAGCAAAACCCTCCTAAGCGGATGAAAGGACCGATTGAACCCTTAATGCTCAATTTATGTCATTAGAGAAAGACTAAGAAGTGTTTACGATAAAATATTTAATGTCTTTACGTTATTGATTGCAAATCTTTGAAATTCTCATAAAATAAAAAACATAATTCAATTGTGTTCACATTTATTTAGAGTAATTGGCGAGCAGGTTGAAATCAAGAAAGGGGGAGAATTTCAGGTATAAAGTTCGATTTCATTATTAAGTTGTTCATTTTCTTAATGAATGTTAGAATGAAATAAAGAATGAAAAATTTAAAAATTATGTAGAATTATGTCACTATTTAATTGAAGTAAGCCAAAAGAAAATTTTAGAAGCATTGGAATAAAAAATTATTAGGATTTATGTATATATATAAATATGTAAATTTATAGTCGTAAATAAATAGTTAATTAAATAAATTAATTATGAAAATAATAATAGAGAATCTAGAATTAATAGAAAATACAATTAGCCTGAACTGACAATAATTTCATTTAAATTATTCCTATAGGTGCACTCAAAAGCTAAGACTAATTGAGGAAATGATAGAATACTGCATTGTAGAGGTTGATAAATATTTTTTTTTACAATAATTCTGTTGAAATTTAAAATAATGTGTAATACAAAATTATTTCATTAAAATGAATGTGGGTATAAATAACCCTTACAAGAATCTAATAATATAAAAAATAATAAAAATCACTAACATGAAAAAGAAAGATATATCAAAAAATATCTACAATAATCAAACCATATTAATTATTTGGAGATAAAAGAAATAACATAAAATAGGAAAACCTAAAATAGAAAAAAGATAGCTACTAATCTAAGAAAATAAATATAAAATAGGAAATAAAATAACTCATTAATACAAGAAAATAATTTACTCTTCATGATTTCTCACATGAATAAATTACTTCCTAGTATAACTCCTAACACTCACCCTCAAGTTGAAACATGGTTGAAAATCATGTTCAAATTGAATTTGAAAACATCAAACGATGGACGAAAAAGATCCTGTAAAGTAGAACTTGAAGTCTTCATCCTGTACTGTGGTTGTTTTTGGATGCAGTTACTGAAGTGTCGGTAGGTAGGCGGAAGGTTCCCACAGATAATGTTGCATGGATGTTGCAATGGAGTTTGCAGGTAAGTAGACAGTAGTGGTTGCAGTTCCTGCAGTGTCTGTAGGTAGAAGAAAAACACTTACTAGTACTGCTGCAAGAAATTTGCAAGCAGACAAATTTGATTATCTTTGACTGTAGTTCCTGCAGTGTCTGTAGGTAGACTAAAAACTCCTACATGTAATGCTGCAGAGGCGTTTGGACAAAAGTAGACAACTCTGATTGTCTTTTGACTGCAGTTTCTGCAGTGCCTATAAGCTGAATTTTGAGTTTTATTTGTCATGTGTTTCAGCCTAGAGAGAAGATAGATGGGGGTTTCGGCAGCAGAGATGAAACTGATGAATAAGGAAATGTAGGTTGGCTATCGGGATTCAATTCAAAGATACATCCAATCTCGCCTCACCAATGATGAACATCTCTTCTTCGGTTCGGAGTGCCACTGGATAGAGAAAGACCCGTTTTCCGATCGGTGGTGGCGATCCAATTGGGAATTTTACAAGAGAGAAAAAATCACACCTAGCAAAATTTGCTGACAGAGAAAACAGCAGAAGAAATGGTGGCTAGAAATGCAGTGACGCTTACGCAAAGAAGAAAAAATGCTGCAGGAGAAAGGGTCGGAAATGGTTCCAGCTGCAAGACCCAACGCTGGATTTTTGTTGAAGAACAATAGGAAATGACAGGAAGCAGTGCTGGATTTAAGGGGAAAAAACTGTTTTGTTTCCTGCGACAGAGAAGAACAGCAGAAAAAGACTACTTTGTTTCTTGTGGGAAAGTCCTTCGGGTAAGAACAACGGAAAGGTCCTCCAGAGAAGAACAACGAGAAAGTCTTGCTGCTGAGAAGGACAGCAGAGAAGCCATCGGTACACAACTCATCAGAGAAGGGTCGCCATTGAGAGTGAGCCGGAAGACACAGGTCCGACTGAAATCTTGCCGGGAAAGGCCGCTGGTGAGAGGGCAACAGTAATCCACAATTAGTTGCCCAAGAAATATATCCTCGATGAGGATCTCAAGCATGTTTTCATTGTAGATGCGCTCCAGTCTCGCGACATGAATGTCCAAGAATGGAATTCCGGGATCAACACTTTAGCGGAAAGAGGTCTAGCGGCTAAAACTACGTGCCAGAAGAATCAGAGATAAAAACCTTTAGAAAACTGATAAAGGTGAACTAACAACATTTAGAGTGAAAAATGATGGCAGCTAAGGGAACAGATAGCTATAGATTTTCTGGAGGCCGGCAGAGTCGAAGCTCCCAGTTCAGGAAGGGCCGACCAACAAACAAAGCTTACAGGGATAGAAAGAAAAAATCGTTGTTTGAAATACCAAGATGAGTCCTCCTCCCTTACCGCACAGAGGACGGTAGGAAGAGAGTCTGATAATGCTCAAACGAAGACCGATGACTAGAGTACAAAATTAGGCTCTGATACCATGTTGAAATTTAGAATAATGTGAAATACAGAATTATTTCCTAGATATGAACGAGGGTATAAATAACCCTTAAGAGAATCCTATAATAGGAAAAATAATAAAAATAAGTAACATGAAAATGAAAGATATATCACAAAATATCTCAAATAATCAAACCATATTAATTATTTGAAGATAGAGAAAATAACATAAAAAAGGAAAACCTAAAATAGAAAAGAAATTAGCTCCTAATCTAAAGAAATAAATATAAAATAGAAAATAAAACAACTCATTAATACAAGGAAATAATTCATTCTTCAAAATTTCTCACAAGAATAAATTATTTCCTAGTATAACTCCAAAAAAAAATATAATTATGTTTGAAAGCAATAACAAATGTTCCACTCTTTTCAACATTTATTTTTAAAAATGTAAAAGTTCTTGATTTTATTTTAAATGTTATATGCAATAAAAAGAATTAAAATGTGATATATGTCTGTATATGAGAGTTACTCCAGAATGGTATTGAAAGGGAAATGAAATATAGTTGAGCACGAAAATTAAAATAGAAAAGAAAATATTGATGAAAATGATTATAGAAGGTATACATTTAGATGACGTCTCCCAATAATGAAAAGTGTTAAAAGAAGAAATGAAAGAAAATGAGTCTGTTTTCTTTATTGTTTTGTTTTACCGTGCACAATTATTTACTATTTACCGTTCTTTTATAAAATATTTTAAAATGCAAATTATTGTAACTTTGAAATATTTTCCCACAAAGTAGTTTTAACACAAACCTTTATTTGTTAATATTTTACAGGAAATTAAGTTTTAGACTATATAGACCCTAGGGAGTATGTGTGCAGGCTTCGTGGAGCACAAACTAATATGTATTTTAGTTCATCTTTATTTCCAGTTAGATGTAAAAATTTAAATATGAATAATCTATTGTAAATAGAAGTTTAAGAATAGAGTGACCCATTTATACTTTGGATTTTATTTTTTTTTTGTGAAATAAAATTGTGAGATTAGTTTCCTTCGTTTGATTTATTTTTCCCTCCTTGGTAATTCCATGCTTTTGGGCCGAGTCATGACACTCTCCAAATTCATTCGGAGTAGGCTTGCATATAAATCCTCAAAGGATATCTTCCAATATTATGCAATCTTTGGAATAAATCAATATTTTCATTTGAGCCATAAAGCTTACAACTTTCCAATTCAGCACAATATTTCAGATTTTTGTGTTCTTTCCCTTATAGAAGTGGTATGTATCAGAATGTTTATGATGACACAAATAATCCCAATGATGAACAAAATTTTGAGGATAATTGTCTATTACAAGTATTTTACCATCAATTTAATTAAACATTGCACAAATGAATATTGAACAACACACCAATTATCACATAACTGCTTATACTGTTTAAATTGTGTTCCAGACCATCAACTATCAATTAATTCTCAATGTCATAGGAGCCACATTCAATAATGCTGACTCCAACTGTCTTTCTCTTGGAATTATCTCCTAATACTTTCAGACATCATTTGGTTTTAGCGAAGCAATTATGTCTAGTCTCTCATCATATATTATCTTCTAATACTTTCAGACATCATTTGGTTTTAGCGAAGCAATTATGTCTAGTCTCTCATCATATGTCTGAAGCATCAGCTATCCAAATACCATGCGTCTTCATTGGTTCTAGAGTGAACATAACTCACAATAAATTAATACACAAATTTGGGAACCCCCTTGCATCAAGCTTAACATTAGAATGAAGTGAGCAAGCTACTTAGGACGGTTCTAGTTGTTTGAGAATAGAAAGCTTATAAATCATAAGATCTAAAACGTGATATTCTCTAATAAAAGATGTACCATGAGATGCATGAATACTAGGTTAATTCTTAAGTTAAGCTATGTAAATACTTAGTTTTAGTTATTAATATATAATTTTTACCAAGCAATTTATCACATAAAAAAGCATTTACTAATATATATGAAAGTTAATTTCTAAAATGATAGAAGTTTTTTCAAGTTCGAAAATTTTAACTTTAAATTTACACTCCTTTTTTAACATGCCATAATTATTTTTTTAAACTATTCAACATTTCATTTAATTCAAATAAATTAATAAAGAGCATCATAGGTTAAATCTTCATTTAGCTCTTGAAATGAATCATCAATTTCCATTACACGTAAATTTGCTTCCTTTTAATCATATTATTCAATTGATGCTTCCACTCTAACTGAATCCACCCATATCTTCTTTAATGCATTCTTGCACTTCTGGGATGTATTCCTCTCTCTTTTTTTTTCATTTTAACTCAAGAGGGACAGTCTAACGGAAGTGGCAGATACAATATCCAACCACAAACGTCAAATGAAATATGCCAATTGATGTACAGGGTATGGCAATAATAGAATCAAAGTGCTCGAGCGTTTCCTCGGTAAGAGAGAATTTTATAATAGCATTGTAGCTTGATCCATGCTTCTCAAAAAGCACTGCAGTGGTTTGGCACTTTTGTAGTTTGCACAATCAAAAGCAAAGAATATAACAAGTTTAAAAACAAACTGCTTTGATATAGCAATAATACAAAAAGACAAGGCGTTACAGTAATATCATATTTTATTACACATACTGCATAGAAAAACTAACCCGATCCAGCTCTCTCTGGGCAATCTTGTTACTGTGTAAACCTCTGAGAACATTCTTGCACGCATCAACAGCTTTATAAACCTAATGAAAACCAAAAGGTAAACTATGAGAATTAGAGTGCATAATCAGACAGACAAATATGATGCAATTCATATAAGGTTAAACATACCTTGCTTGGTGTAGAAGTTACTGATATGACATACCATCCAAGTTTCAGTCTATCAAAAAGACTTAATTCGAAAAATACATCATATGTTAAACCCAGGGAATCCCTAACTGTGGTGAAAAGCCTGTAAGAAAGTAGCTGTCTAAATGTAACATAAGAAATATACAACATAAACTTTTTTTAAGAAAAAAAATTACAAACAATAACAGGATCCTTACCTTCACGCATTAATTTTAATGATAAAAGATCATCATTAATAAAATTTCACTTTTGCCACATTCTTAAGATTATGAATCTTCTACATTTCTTGTCAAGTAGGCATATCTTTTCAAAGCACACACAATAACACAAAACAAACGAAAACATCATTTGCACACTTACCAGCTAATATAACAAAGTTTCTCTTCAGAGAAAAAAGGTTAAAATAATTCCTGACTATATATATATATATATATACACATACATACCTTGCGTTAACTCTATGGCTTCTCTCATCCGATTTCATCGTGCCGACGACAAAGAGTTTCACGCCAACCGGTTTGCTCATACCCGACGTCGAAGGGTTTCTCTCCTTCGGCTTTCTCGCACGTCGTTCCTCTTCCTGACACATTCGTACCTTAGATTCGGTCCGATGTCGAAGGGCTTCCGTCGCAGCTGTGCCCGACGACGACGGCCTCTTTCGTTTTCGTCGTTCTCGCATTGCTACTCACGCATTTCAAGCCTTCAATTTGGCCCGATGCTTGCAGTCTTCCTTCCTCGGGTCGCACTTGACGATCTCTGTCGCCCTGCCCGACAGAAAGTGAAGCCTGCTAGCCTTTTTCTTGCAGCTCGCCAGCCATTCTGGAGATGGCCTCGACGATGCATTCATATGTCAATGCACTTGCCAACGACTTTCCTATTCCTACTCATGCTCCTCTTTCAGGTTCAGAGCCTAGGTTTTATATTGCAAGTCCTGCAATGTTCCTCAAACCACGTCGCTCTTGAAGGTGGTGGTAATCACACTTTTATTAAAAAGTTTGGCAAAAAAAATGGAAAGTCTGCTTTTATTCTCACTGAGGTTGAAACCAGTACTCTCCCGCGTCCTCTTGGAGTTTTGCTCTATTGGGGAAATTCCAAGTCACCCAAAATTGGAGAACATACGAAAGAAGTTTGATGCTATGAAGCTATTGGGTAGTTGGAATATTGACTTACTTGATGGTCGACATATACTTATTCAGTTATCTCACAATGTCGATTATACTCGCATTTTTTTCTCGAAAAGTTATCAAGATCGACAACGGTTTTATGAAAATTCTAAAGTGGATAGTCGATTTTGATCCAAAAGCGGAGTCCCTTATCATTCTTATTTGGATAAAGTTTTCGTGATTAAAACATCTGTTTAACTTGGAAATTCTCATCTTATTAGCAACTGTTTACAGTAAGCCTCTTAATGTTGATAGTCCTACCAGACCATCTTTGGCTTGTGTGTTAGTTGAAAGAGATATCACACAGCCAGCTCCGAATGAGGTAAGGATTGACACCACTCACAACGGGTATTGACAAAAGATTGAAATAGGACCACACTCATTATTGCTCTCATTGTAGTATGTTTGCCCACAGTTCTACTATTTGCTATCTCTTGCATTCTCATCAAAGGCCGAATACCGCTATAGATCAGCCTCCTACCATCCCTGATAAAAAAGTGTAACCTGATCCTCTTTCCAACACTGCTGGTCCAGATGGACACCATACTACAGTTACAGATCGAACTGTGCTTATACCACTCACTGTTATTAAAGAAGACCGACTTACTTGTCAACAGACACGAGAGTGCTCCTTCGAACAAATAAAAAATAAGCTGGTATAGCGAGTAGTTGCTTCTAATGTTCAACAACCTACACATGTCCGACACACTTTAGACCAACCCAAAAATCGAGCGAGCCAATCTTCGAATGAAGAATCACAGGTCTACTCCAAGAGAAAGAAGAAAAATGGAGGCCGACTTGAGCTCGGGAATTTATTGGATGATACATTGGTTACTACTGACAATGACACTCACTTACCAATTTATTAGTTGACTCCTTCCTTAGAACTAGAGGCAGAGGCAAGACAAAATTGGGTCGCTCTTAGCTACCTGATACTCCGTATTTTGACACTTTTTGGTATTTTCTTTACGTCTCTCATGTTTTTTTCTGTAAACTCTAAACCCTTTTTTGGAACCATTTGTTGTGGTGGTTATCGTGTGGCCAGGGTGTCATGTTTGGGCCCTCCCACACAATCTATTTGTATCCTACTTTCTATTTAATATATTTGCCTTTGGGCTTTCTATATATTTATAACTCGTTGTTTAGTCTCAAGTATCTACTATGTTTAACTTAGTCCCATAACTCCTCAAAAAAGATCCAAAATAGTTTGATTGTTGAATTATTTTGAATCAAATTTAATGAGTAAAAAAAATATATATATTTTTAGATTAAATTGGTCATATTAAATAGTTTGAGATTAAAATAAGCCCTCGTAATGAGTCCAAAAAATATTTTAACTCTTTGAAAACATAATCTATTGGAAATTGTGCAGATAACATGCATGTAATAACTGTTTTACATGTTAAAAGTAACATCGTTACATAAAAGTTCTAAATCTTGGAACAATTTATAAATCTATTCT